AGCCAAAAAATCACACCTCTTTAAGTCTTACCAAAAACATATTCAGGATGAATACAATGATTCAACATCGACAGCACTCCTCGATGAAATTTGTCTTTATTATGATGAAAGGTTAGAAAGTATTGATATGATGAAAGATGCCAGGCATGGATTGAGGAAGGATGCCAAGGACACAGGTGTTGTTGCTAATGGTGACCGCATACATAAAGTTATAAACTACTAACATGTTACCAAAGCAGATGAAAACATTTCTAAGCGACATGAAAAACTGGGAATAGAAAAGATATATAGGTATCTTTCTGACATCACCGTCTCCGTGGGAGTCCATACTCATGACAGAAACCTATCTATCAATAAGTACATCAGAGAAGAATGTGAACCCGAAAACCAAAATGACACCTGGCATTGTGTGAAATCTGTCAAAAAGGCACTGAAAGGAGCAGCATCAGGTCCAGCTGCTCTACAGGAAAAAAACTTCGTCTTTTCAGCTTAGTGACAAAGTTTAACCTGTTGCCACCCATATGTATTGGGTCATTAGAAAATGCGGGGTTAATGCTGTAAAACTACGACAATCTTTGGAAAACATCACAAGAACAATCACAGTGCATCTGACCTAACATCAAGAGATGCAAGATAGATCCAAACTACGATACATCAAGGATAGGTATTGATCCAAAAACATTTGTTTTATATATTGACATACCAGTTTACCAATTCACGTTATTCAAGTATGCAGAGGACTATAGATTAGGAAGAGACACGTTTTATGTAGAATGCTTCAACAATGTGATTAACATTTATCAGGACAAAAGATCTGCTTTCTCAGAAGACCAATACAAATCAAGAGCCAACTTGGCAGCTTGCAGTCTGTCAATGGAATGAAAATGTTGATCGTGGACATACATCTGTTTGGAATCCTTATAACCAACATGCGCCACGCAGTACCAAAGGAAATGAACTATACATGTAACAGGGTTGAGCATGCCCCTTTATGTATGTGATCTCATTTGTTATTTTTGTAGTAACCATTTTGGATTGTGGCACCAAATGTAAAATTGACGATACCATGTTGATTCTTTCGTTAAATCCCAATTCGAATTAACCGTCATCGTACATTTACTTTATGAAATTAGCTCTCTCTCTCTCTCTCTCTCTTGAATATACTCAATAATCATTATACAAATGAGAAGCAGCCTTGTCATGCTGAATGTGTGCTCTAACACTTGTGTGGATCTCTCTGATTGATAAGACAACGATATATCATCATATGGTATAAGTAAGTCGTAACTCCGAGTAATTGAGCAAGTATATATTCTTTTGTACAGTTTTATAAATGAGCATTTATTTCACTTTTTGTTTTAAAATTAGGGGAAAGATATTATGAACAATACGGCAATTATCAAAGGAAACCACGTCATCATATTCACATACATAACCATTTCACATCAAGTATATCAGTGAGCATCCCAACTCGACTGACGTGTATGCGTAGCTTGTTTGTTTTGTAACATTAAAGTAATTGTGACTGGAATAACTTACTGTGGCATTCGGTTATTAATATGTTACTGGTTGATATGAAAGACGACTGCGTTACACATGTACCTTTAAGTACGGTATTCGATCTAATTAATATTGGCGTTCATGTTCCCTTCCTGATGTTATTGAATACACAGCGATAACAACGTCGAGAAATCATGCTTAAATAACAATATAGAAACGATGTCACATATTAGATCTCAATACAATTTAATTTTCACGGGGTATTTTTTATGAAGATAGACAAAACTGATCATTTGTACAATAACGCATCATTTTGATGAGCGTCACCAAACATTCTGAACTTTCAGTGTTACAAATTTGCTATAATCAATAGTAGAATAGGATAATTAAAAGACCGATTGTATATACTTTATGTCTTTCAATAGCTGTCACGTACGCAAAATTGCTGTAAAATGATAGGCAATCTCTCATTTAATTGGTAAATACGGTACACAAGTCCAAACATATGCATCACCCCGTCCTCATATGACCTTGGGTATGGCAGGGACTTTTAACCATGCACAAAACAATAACTTTACAACGTGTACATCATTTGGCCTTGCACTACTATTCGTATACAGCTAACACAGAAGTGGGTCATTGCCATGATGGTATCGAGTAAGGAAATTCTATCGAGAAAGTTTCTTGTGTTGACAGTTAATTTCCTCAGTATGTTTTTGTGTGTCGGATTTCCCTTGAACATGTCAGTATTAAACTTGGAGCTTCTTCGTGTTTTTGGAGAAAGCAGACTTAAGACAGCACTTGTCCAGTCTGTTACGACTGGGATAATCGAAATCGCAGGTATGTTAAACCATACAAAACATTATTGAAATGTTTAGATACCATATTCTATCCAGGGAAATTACATTTGTTTAAGTGTTTTCTCCATACTTACGATGTTGTAAATGAATGCTGGAATCATAGTGATATATACTGCTATGTCTAATTTATTTGTATATTCATCAATTGAAAACCGCATAACTAAATTGCATGACTACGCACACAGACGGTCTTACCACTGCTAATATTCCGACAAGAAACTAACAATAATGAGAACAAAGTTATTTGTTATATACAAAACGGAATGATATAATATGATATCATTATTCACACGTTTTCAGGTTTTATTTGTGGACAGTGTGTAAATAAGTACGGAGTAAGAAAGGTTGGCATGTTTGGTGGACTGCTGGCTTTTCTAGGACTTGCCTCGTCATTCTTTGCCACGAGTGTAACCTACTTTATTGTCTCCATTGGTGTAGTTGCAGGACAGTAAACTAACTTACATTTATATATAAAAAACGTCGTTAATAAGCTTAATTGGCTAATTTATCAATATTTTTATTTAACTTATGTTGATGGTGGTTTGAAGATGATCAATCTTGCTGCGTTTATAAACTCTCTTAAACTTACCTGGATCAGAAGACTATCAGAGTACTTGAAAATGGCAGGCCATACTTAAAACTTATATTGACATAGATCTTCTTGCAAATTGTGGTTCTGAATATATTCAGATATGTGTAAATAAGTGTAAAAATAGATTCTGGAGTGATGTGCTCAGATCATGGTACACACTAAATACAAAATATTATGATGAAAAAATTCAGGAAAACATAATGAAAGTTCCCATTTGGTATAATAGTAAAATCAAGATAGGAGGAAGAACTTTTTTTTTACAGAAAATACTATCAGAAAAACATTTTTATTCTGAATGATATAATAAAGGAGGTTAGCACATTTCTTTTTTTACACATTTGTAGAATTTATTCAAAAATACCAAGTAAACACATTTTTTTTACAGTATCAGGGTCTTGTCTCTGCAGTTAAAGACTTTATTTCATCATTTGATACATACAGACATAAGATAATTTATCCCTACATACCTATCACCTTAGAACTTTTTCTTAAAGATTTAAAAGGGTCTAAAATGTTTTACAACATCATAATCAAATCAGACAAGATACCATCTGGTACCAGAAAGTGGAATACTATATTCGACAACATGGATAAACTAACCTGGTGTAAAATCTACAAAATGCCATTCTGTGTGACAACAAATACAAGACTTCAACGGTTCCAGTATAGAGTGATTCATCATGTACTAACGACTAACTCATTTCTATGTAAAATTGGAGTAGTTGTCTCCCCTCTTTGTGTACTATGCAACTCTGAACCAGAAACAATTACTCATATATTATGGGAATGTGAAGAAATACAAAGATTACTAGAAAGTCTTGACACATTACTGGAAGCTCTTCTAATTCCATGTTCAGTAAATAAAAAATCTTTTCCTTTTGGCCTTTTTCATCAGAATATTTACAGAATGAGATGTTTGCATAACTCATGAAATATAAACGCTCTTGTAAATATAATTTAAGACAACTATCTGATTCAAAAGTACATTGCTAATGGTTTAAAAATGATTGGAAAAATGGGACAATCTAATATAGTTGTAATGTAATACACTTTAAAAAAATAAATATTTTTACGATTATTATTTTTATTATCATTATTATGAAGAAGTGTGCTTATGTGTGCTTGTGAGTGTGAACATCATAATGGTAATGATGTGATGATGATGATTACGATGATGATCGTGTCATCAAATTGGTGTGTGTTTGTTGTTGAAGAAAATGATGATGATGATGATGATGATGATGATGATGATGATAAATCGTGTAAATTAAAAAAAAGTTAAAAAATAAATTAAAAAAATAAATATATTTTGATTTAACACTAAGTACGATAAAGCTACTTTTACAACATACTTTAGTATTCAGTGGTATTTAAAAAAACCGAGTTCGTGGTACTGTGGAAAACTGGGCTGTGCTAATTTTGTGCGAAGTAAATACATTTTACATTTTTTATTTACAAATAACTTATCATTATAACCATTCTTATGATTCATTTTAGAAATAAAACACATCGTCGAATGTTGAAACTGGATACTGATATATTCGTTATCCAAATACAATCTTTCCTTGTATTAATTTTCAAATTATTTGTCGGTAATTAGATTTGTTTTGTTATTTTCTTCATAACATAGTGAATAAGACGATTAATTAAAGGCTGGGGTTACATGACCAACAGTGACCAAATGCGACTACAGCATTATCATCGTTTTCGGATATTAGCGTGCTGTGAAATCTCAGTTGTCAAAGATGATGGAACAAATGGCATGTTTTTCTCACTTTACACACAGTTTTTACTGTTTACTACTAATATTACACACTGTCACAGATATCGGAATAGTAACGGGTATCTAATCAGCAAACATATGAACTGTACAATTAAAGAACGTAAATCAGATTTGTTTTATCGCAAAACCTCTCATATTTATGTTTACTCAAGAGAAGATTGTTAAAGCATAGGAAGAGGGTGTTTTTTCAAAAGAGAACATTTATTGCAATGCTAGTATTTATGCGTGTTAACAAGTCATGTATACAATTCTTTTTCAACAGGATTTGGATTTTCTTTTACCTTTGTATCTTGTGGGACATCTGTTGGTGAATACTTCGACGGAAAAGCAAAGCTTGTAGCAATATCAATAATCGGTACCGGAGCTGGATGTGGTGGAATGGTAATCCCGTTTCTGTTGGACTATTTGATCGAGATGTATGGATTGAGAGGATGTGTGTTAATTGTGGGGGGACTCGTGGGGAATATGATTTGTTTCTTTGCTGTTTGTAAACCTAAATCTGTCGGTTTACACAAAACTAAACTCGACTGTTCTGGAAATGCTGACCGAAAACAATCAGCAATTCATCAACCGCTGGACGAAGACAGAGTCACCATCGATAATGCAATCCTTAACAACAAAAATATACCTGGGAAACAAAATACTTGTACTGAAAAGTTGAATTCGCTCCGAAAAAACTATATTTTTATCATTTTCATATTTGGGATTTCGTTAACATTTTCCGCATTTGGCGCGGCATTGATTTATATGTTGGAATTCTTTAAGAAGAAGGGATTTGCTGAAGACAAAGCGATGTTGTTTTACTTTTATATGAATATATCAGCCACTTTAGGTAGGTTGATACCCGGACTGTGTATACTCTTACCGCATATAGATGGTCTTGTCATATCTGCGATCTGTACCATTGTGAGCTGTTTAAGTAGCTTAGGTCTACTTGGAGCAACAACATATTACCAACATGTGATTCTGATGTGCGTCTTTGGGATGACACTTGGCTGTGCTAACACAGTCCTATCAATGACTACGATGGAACTTGTGGGTCTAGACAATTACGCTATCGGAATGGGAATCCTTTTGCTGGTAATTGGACCAAGCAGCATCTGTGCTGGTGCCGTTTCAGGTATCTAATTTAGTATTATTATAACACGTGCTTACTGTTTTTTAAAATTAATCGAACAGAAGTTAACTATCTGGGCATGAACACGGCTGCAAAAATCCATGACACTTGAAAAACAGTGGTACTGACTTAGAAAATGTGAATCGGAAACTGTCTTAGCATTTCGACTATCGTTATTTTAATTTGACGTCACGTCATTACTGGTCCCTGTTTACACTATAGTATGATAGAAACTCATGCATTTCTGAGTTATCTGATTATAATATAACATAGAAAATATTTTCAAAAAATAATAATAACTTGTCAAAACCCACGTTCCAACATCAAAACCTGCCAATATATGAAGAAATAATGATTTTTCATCCAAACCTTGACCACCGTAATATATGTTTCTTTTCTTTTTTAAACTTGCGTTTTCAAACGGCACCTTCCGCAATCTAATGTGCTATTGGCAGACCTCTTCTTTCTGTGAATGTAGCTTTTGACACACAAATTCGAGAAAAGACGAAATTGCTAACCCTAGCCTAGCTGGATACCTATTTGAAAAAAAAAGAATGTGAAGCACCAAGAATAAACTTTATCATAAATTTTCCACTTTTCGTGCATGCACTTTTGCAAAAAAGTTTGCTTCATGTCTTCTCAATCGAAAAAACCCTATAAAACTGCAATTCTACAATGCAGTATATTGCTACCTCTTCGTTGGTGTCGCTGTGTACATATTTGTAATATGTCTATGTGATTGTATAGTAACTTACTCACCATTATTATTACAGGTTGGTTAGTCGACTTGACTGGATCCTATCATGCGTCATATTATAGTGTTGCTGTTGCTCATGGCGTGGCTTGTTGTTTGTTTGTCCTGGCAGCGACATTGCAGAAGTTCAACCGAAGTCAGGCCTACTGCAAATGTATAAATAATTAAAAATGATACTTGATACACGTCATGATCTAGTTTACATATTGATGTCCACTGGTAGGAGGATACACATGTCAACCAGTAAGTTATATAGTGTGACAAAGCATTGCTCGAGTCGTAAATTTGTAATAACTAGCCTTCCAAGGTTCGATATAGGGTCATTAGCCTATTATATAACAACTTTACTGTATCTTAGATAATTTTGCCCTAAATAAAAATAATTACAGCTGTCAAGTAGATCTAATGATGGATAATTCCTTGAAACTTGAATCATGTTTTTTTCTTTCTTCTTTCTTTTCAACAATCTTTAAAACATCTGCAGCTGAAAGTACTAATAGTTAAAGCACTAAAATGAGACCGAATGTCTATTTTTTCAACTGGTGAAATGAATGCACAGGCGCTATGTATAACTCATCCAATACTACTAATGCAAATGAGACGCAATATTCAATTTGTTTTTCTTGATTCCATGATACATGTAATTGCTTAAAAACTTGTCCCTGATGCTCTTCTGCTCTTTACTTTAAACTTTAAACTGATATCTTTTACTGATAGTAGTCCTTAAAATACCTCAGTAAAGTGAATCCCAGTTCGAGGTGTATAAATGTTTGTACATGTTATAGAGTACCGTAATCTAACTAAAGAATTCCATGTTACCTTACTCACGTCACAAGGGATATATCGCATTTAATTTTGACCTCAACTGAATATTTATTTCATTCAAAGGAATACTCTTATACCCTTAAAAGCATTCCCCACATTTTGATTGTTGTCATCAAGGATAGAATGCGATATTACAACATCTATTTTCTGTGTGATATGTAACTATAAAATATAATATTAATATTTTATATTACATATTATCATTTCCAAAGGTCTGTACTACGAAATGACCACTAAATACCGCGTCTAGCTATAAACGATATTAGTATTATGCAGAGAAGAAGCTACCTTCCCATGGGTGATCTGCAATGTATTAGTGATGGTTTAATGCTTGCATTGATATCATCATCATATGGCGTTAAAAGGTCGGAAATTCGAGTTAATATGTCAGAATTGGAGTTATTATATTAAAACAAGTGATCCTTATTTTCCTCCGTACACTTATAAATATGAGCGTTTATTTTACAGCAGGCTTTTATTGTCAAAATAGAAGTATAGGTTACAGACAACAAAGAGCAGATTGCAAAATAGCATCGTCATCATATTCACATACATTACATTACCACAACAATCATGTCAGGGAGCCCTCATATATGTGCGCTTTGCTTTGTCTTTTTAACTTCAGAAGCGACAATTTTGTCTTGAATAACTTGTTTTCTTATTTAGTCACTATATGTTCTGTTTAAATAACAAAGTATAAACTATGACACGAAGCAAAATTTGAGGGCTAATTAGCATTTAACTTTAAATGCTGAACTGTTCATTTGAACAATGTTATGTATGGTGCTTGACATCATAAATTGCTCTAATGTAGGTCAAGGTCAAGGTCAAGGATATTTTTTCTTTTTACTACTAATGAGTTACATTTTAGAAAATGTTCAGTGAACAAAGCTTTGCTTTTGTTCTTTTGAGATTTGACGAAGCGAATCATTTGTACAATATCAAATTGTTTTGATAAGCTTCTTTGTACAATCCAGTACTTCACTTATTGTACGTTTGCAAGCATCAAGAGGCGAATGGGGTAATTATTAGAACACATGTGACTAGTAACTGAAGACAGATCTGATTTCTTTAAACAGCCGCCATGAAGGCCAAAGTACAGCAAAAGATATGGTTTAAACAAGCGTTTAATTGGTAATTACGTTGAAACATATGCATTGTCCCGTCTTTCAATGACATGAGATATTGCGAGACAATAAACAGTAAAAACCTGTACCACATGTACAGCGTTTAGCCTTACACTGCATGCCGTATACACTTCACGTAGGTAATTTACATTAGTCATTGTATACATGGCGTCGTGTAGGAAAGTTTTAACGAGAAAGTATCTTGTAATGATAGTAAGTTTTCTTAATATGTTTTTATGCGCCGGTTTTTCCTCCAACATGTCAGTGTTAAACGTGGAGTTTCTTCGTGTTTTTGGGGAAAGTAAAGCACAGACAGCGCTTGTCCAAGCTGTTACTATTGGGATAATGGATATTGCAGGTAAGTCGACCGCCATCAAACACTATCAGGGATGAAATGTTTTAAAACACACTCTATTCATGGAATTTTTAATTATCATTTTAATCACTTCCGGTAATTATAGGAATTATATGAAGTTCTAAATTAATGTTGTACTCAAACTTATTTATTCTGCCAGTCCCGACATATTTATGTGCCTATTGATTGATTAGGGGCCGCGGCTGCCGCTTGGTTAAGGCGTCCGACATTCAGCTTCCACTAGCCCTTCACCACTTGGTCTCGGGGCCGAGGCCTACGTGGGGCAGTCGCCAGGTACTTTCCGCAAGTCGTTGTTTGTCTCCGGGAACTCCGTATTTCCTCCACCACATAAACTTGACACGTAAATGCCCATAGCTGTTAATTGGACGTAAATCACAAACAAACAATCATTATTTTTTTCAATCGTAAATGTATTAAATTACTTACGTGTTAACAAAACCATGATTCGAGCTCAAAACGATAAAACTATTGGAAAATAGGAACAGAAGAGAGATTTACTTGGAGACCCTTGAAAAACGTACAAGGGGAATGAGATCAGATGTTCCGGAGGGGTAAGCCTGCTTTATTGACGACACCTGTCGTGTAGATCTGGTCAAATCCAAGTAAAGTCACTTCCTCACATCGAGAACTCGGGTAGTGACAACAAAACCACAAGAAATTTAATGAGCATAATCAAAAGCATCGACCTTCATATCGCATTATCTTACGTAATAGTATATTTCCCTGCAAGATCATGATTACCATAAAACTTGTCGATAATCCTTGTCAACCGGCATCTTTGGAATTGTGATTTGTAAGTTTGTCTGTCATCAGTCGACATCTATCACGGGGGTCATGATATTCGGAACAAGCTCTTGAATACCGAAATACCGAAAACTGTGACATATTAAGACGCAAGTATGGAAGCAGGGGTGTTACTGTCAAGAAAATAAAAGTCAAAATCGTTCTGCATATCGTACAGCTTAATTGTAAGCCGTCTGATGGTTCTGTTGTAAGTTTAGACGGAGGAAAGTGGCTTAAGTAGAAGAGTATGTTGTTTCCTTGATTTCAAGCTATGGGAGATGTAATTGATCGATGTGGACAATAAATGCCTTATGATTAAAAGACAGCAGAGCATCGATATATCTGACTGTGAAATTGAAGGACTTGGCTAGACTTTGTTACCAGTCTGATAAGCTATCAAATCGACCAGAATATAGGCATAGTTTGTTCCAATTGCCGCGTAGACTCTCGAGTGAATATACATTCTTTTATTTTATTTTATTAACTATTGTACACAATTCATTGTTTATTTACGTTTTCATGATACCGTAATTATCTTCCATGTTAAATATATAGTTTACCATTTTTACAGACTCTGGTATGTCTCGGCCAGGGGAAAGAACCCAAAGCCTTCCTCACAGGGGCGAACGCTCAACTGAAGGCCAAAAGTGAGGCATTGTCAGGGGAGACTTTAGGAAGAAGAAATTTGTTTAGAAAGAAGAGAAAAGATAAAATCCCAAGTTTAGTCGCCTCTTACGATCATGCATGTGGGCAGCAGGTACAATTCTTACGCCCTACCCGCAGGGACGCCTTTTCTCTAGGCACCATAGAATAAGCTGTTTGGCTACGTGTACGTCCGTCTGCTAAAAACTAAACGAGACTAGTAAAGCATATTCTTTTTTTCGGATATTTTCGTTCTGCTAAAAGTTGATTTTTTTTAAAGTTTAACAAAAAAAGCAGAGAAAATAGCACATATGTGCAAACTTGTTCTTTCAGCTTACACGTAGTTAATACTATTAACTGTCATAATTTGAAATTTTATACTTACATTACAACAGATATTGGAATAAAACCAAAGAAGATATTAACACAATTTTGATATGTAAACTACAATGTACCATACTTGGGGTTGATTGTGAAAGCGGTAATTATTATTTACGATCGGACATTATGCTCGTGTGTAAAATGAACACATCGTAATCCACAGTTATCGACCAGTTACATCAGTCACTCAACACAGAAAACAAAAACAACAGTTATCTTTAAAAATAGATCATTAATTGTGATGGTCATTTGATTGTAAATAATTTTTGTATATTTTGTAAACAGGATTCGGATTTTCATTTGTCTTTGTATCTTGCGTGCCATCTGTTGGTGAATACTTCGACGGAAAAGCAAAGCTGGTTGTAATATCAATTATTGGTACCGGAGCCGGGTGTGGTGGAATGGTATTCCCTTTCCTCATGGACTATCTGATGGAGAGCTATGGATTGCGTGGATGTGTTCTTATCATAGGAGGACTCATGGGGAACATGATTTGTTCCTTAGTTGTTTGTAAACCTTAATCTGCCGCCTAAAATCTTGGGTTCGCAAGATGAGCACAGACAACGAACATCCTCGATTCATCAGCTCACACATGACGACAGGGTCACTAATGTACCAGAGCATAGTAATATCGACAGGGACCAATATTCATGCACCGAAAAGTTGAATTCACTGAGAAAAAACTGTAATTTTATCATACTTTACACTTGGAATTTCTCTGACACTTTCCTCTTTTGGTGCGTCAATGATTTACATGTTGGAAATTCTTCAGATTAAAGGATTTGATGAACATGTAGCGATACTATTCTATTTTTATATACATTTTTCAGCCACTTTAGGTAGGCTGATACCCGGAGTGTGTATAATCCTACCACACATGAATGGGCTGGTCGTATCCGCGATCTCTACAATTCTGAGTTGTTTAACAAGCGTCGGTCTTCTTGGAGCAACAACATACTACCAACATATGATTCTGATGTGCGTCTTTGGGATGACCTTTGGTTGTGCTAACACAGGGCTAACAATGACTACAGTGGAACGTATTGGATTCGACAATTACGCTATCAGAATTGGAATCATTTTGCCGGTCATTTGCCTAAGCAGCATCT